CACATATATGTCGACAGGGGAGGGAAAAAAAGCAAAGGGGGGGAGCCCCAGGGGGGGGGGGGGGGGGGGGGAAGAGGGCTGTCACTCACCTTATCTCAATGCTTGAAGGTGGGGACCCGTATATGCAGATGTTCTGCTACCACTGCTCATCATCCCAAGTCCCCAGGACAATACATTTCCATCAATTGTGTCTTATGCTCTATGCCCAGAAGTCCCGGTATTTAGTCTGGAAGTGGTCCCAGAGCAGCCCAGTCTCCAAGGTGTCACACGTGGCTTCATCTTCATTGTTCACGCAGCCATGGGTGGTCACAAGCAAGTAACAGAGCTCAAGGACACGGGTTCCAAGGACCACAGTTGCATCAGCACCACAGTGCATGATGCTGTACTCTAGCCTGCATACAGATTCAACAAGCTACCACTGGAAATTCTAGTAGTTCCAAACTTTCCTCTGTAAGAAGCCCAACATAGGTAAGGATCCATGCCAGAAGCCAAGCAAAGTTGACAAACCTTTTACAGTCTAAACTGACTGCGTGTAGTGGCTCTACACTGTTGGTAATATGGCACAAAGGGAATAGTCCCTGTGTGGGGAGCCAATTACTGTTTTGTTCTCAGCACTCAGCTGTCCTTGGGGACTTCCAGAGACAAAAGCTCCTATAAGGTATTCAATGCACCTGGCCCCTTGGCTACAGAGTGCCAATAGTGCATGCTACTGACCTGCTTTGTAGTACAAAGGACAAGCTACGCCTTGAACATGTGGACACACATGTTATACTACACATGAATGTCTATACATACTATTTGAAACAGTCCTTTGGATATTTCAAAAGCTAACAATTATCAGCATAAGCTATTTTCTACACCAACACAACTTGCCATTTTAATGGCTATTCAACTTTCTTTTCTAATTTGAGAATTTTAAGTAACCCATCAGATAACACCACAAAAAGCATAATTGAAGCACATTTGTAGAAAACACAGAAATCTTTTAAAGTGTTATATACGAAGCAATTTACATCTTTAAAAGATTTCTAAGACTTGTGACTTTACAAGCCAATTTGGCATCATCTCCTATGTGGGGAAGTTAAGAAAACAACACAGGGGGAAAAAGTCAAAACAAGTTCACATGTCTAGGATTATTAACTTAAGGAACTGCAAGTCATACTACTGCATATATACTGCTGCAAACCCTCCATCTGGTCCTGTCAGCTCTCTCAGGTTAAGGAGGTCTAGCCCAGTCATAACTTATGTGGAGACTGCCAAAGAACATAGGTGTTGGAGGAACGAGATCTAATGTTTTCTTACATCAGTACTGAACCAATGCTATAGCATAACAATAAAGCAGCTCTATGTTGCTGGAACACCCATTCTGCAGAGGAGATTAAACAGACTTGACAACTGGATTTTGTTTTTGTTTTGCTTTTTAAACTCAGCATCATTCTCTACACAAAAAGTAGAAGTGTTCACCTTAGTTTTCTAGGGAAAGTCTGATTTATGATATTACAATCTGCCTAATTAAAATATTCTCAGCATAGTTTTAAATGGAGAAATTAATCACTTCCCTGACAGAGAAAGCGATGTGTAATGGTATAGTCATTCTTGTTATTGTCACAGAATGTCTGAAGTCTTCCATCTCACTGTTAACTGCATGATTGTGTCTAGAGTCTGTCGAGTGCCTTGGGGTCTGTCAAGTTGAAAGGCACTATATAAATGGAGATTAATAGTAATATGCAACAGAGGAGGCTGGTGCACCATAGGATTTTTTTCTAGTTCTTGATAACTCCTTTTAACAAGCAGAAGTCTTGTCAATTATAGGAATGGTAACATTAAATTAACAACATTTTTCATTTGTATTAAGTAGCCTCCTATAGCCAGAGAGCAGTATTGAGTGAAATCTCATCATTATAAATTATGAGAGGTTACTAGAGCAAAGGGAGGCAAACCTACCTACCACAGTAGAAATAAAGTGTGTAATAAACAACATTAAATATTAGGAATGAAAATAAGCTAAGTTCTCAGTGATGCCACCACCTTTGGACTCCTACAAATTGCATGGTCACGAGTTTGAGCATATACTGAAACCACGCTGCTTTTGCATTTAATTAAGCTGAAGAATTCTTATTGCTTACTTCATCTAGAGCAAAGAGAAGTGCCAAAGTCAAGTGAAGTTAACCTAACCTTGCTTACTTCCAGACACTCACAATATACTTGATGATATCTTACGCTGGTCATAGGCACAAAGACCGGCATATTTGATGCTCATTAACTTTTCTGTAAACCTACTTGCAGCTTATTGCTGAGAGAGAGGTGCCCCATGCTAGCTTTCACTGAAAAACATTAGCTTGAAAAGCACAGAGCAGTGATTCTCAACCAAGGTGCCACAGAATCCTGGGGTGCCTTGAGATCCTTTCAAGGGTGCCACAGGACACTGCACAGTGCTGTTAGGTGTACAAACACGATCCACAAGATAAACCCAGAGATAAATCCACAGCTGTGGTCTTTGAGTTCTTTGTAACTTAAAAAGTGCTCTATTATTTCTCTGTAGGCAAAAAAGAAAAGTGAAAACTAAGAGCCAGCACTTTCCAACCGGTGCCTCAAATCTATCCACGGGTGTCTAGTCTAAAGAGGTTGAGAACGACTGTCAGAGAGAAACCAATACAGCATTAAATTTCATTAAATAAAACCATATTGGAAAGACTTTTGGGAAATAAGTGAAAGCATGTTTTAGATAGATCGTGCCATTATTAGAGAATCTACTCTGCAGTTTACAGGGAGGGAGGATGTGGCACAGCTCCATAAACTTACCATGGCTTAAGTAAGGGCAGCAACATCTGGAAACCCCAAAGGGATTGTGTCAAGTACATCTGTGTAATCACAGAACAGACTCAGTCATAAATCTGTCACTCTTCCAAACCCCACAGAACGCAACTCTGTTGCATCTGGAATGTGGAGCCCAACTGTACCCACCCAAAAGGCACTCTCCGCTGTACAGAGTGGAACTGTGGCAGCAGAACTGCCTCAAAGTTTGCTGTTACTCCTTCAGTCAGGGTGATATTGATTTCCAAATAGTTTCTTTGGGGGTATTGCTCTTAAAAGCAAGCAGCAGCAGGCGTTGCTCAAGAAACAAGTTGTAATGACATCCAAGTCCCCTTACCTCTTCCACAACAGTCCAGCACTTGCTGTTGCTGCAGCGGTTCCTATAAAAGCTGCCAACATAAGTCTGTGCCTGCTCCTGGTGCGATATGCCATTCCATGATGATGACGCAAAACCACTGTTAGTCCCGCTACTGCAGGAATAAGTCGAAGGCGTAACATCCTGTAACATAGAGACAAAAGTTACTACAATAAAAGTGACCTGGTGAGCACAGTAATGCAAAGCCAATTTATTTTCATTATGTCTGTTGTCCTTTTAAACCAGGGTGGCCTCCAAGCCAAAGAATTTCGCATCTCATTCCCATTTTAGTCCAACTCGCAAAGGTCAAACTTTTCAAGGACTGCCAACCCAACAAACAAGTTTCCAATACAACAATCGAACAGGAAAATTAGAACAAACTCTTATCCTTCCTACACTAATAGGTGCACCATTTCAATACTCATTTAGGGGGATTCTTTGCTAGAAGCTTTACTTATTCACCACTCAGTTTCTTATGGAGACTAGACAAGCTGATAACCAAATCATGGTGATTCCA